GCTAACTGTAATATTTGCTTAATTGTATTGTTCAATATATCACTAGCAAGAACAGTACAAACTATGTGAGATATTCTATTTGAATAGAAGATTCATTTTAGAAAATTGTTTTGTTCATATATTGAAGAAAGTAGAAGTTGTTTGAACAGCGTCAATTCTTAGGAAATCCTGATAATTGAAATTATACCAACTAAGTTATATACTTTGGCTATGATATGAATAGCAGGAATAAAAAGCTTACGTGGGTCCTAGCAACAAACGAAGTGCTGATCTAACTAATCGATACAGCCTTGTTTGATGACATGCATTTAAAGAGTTTAAGAAATATAATAAGTTTTGATTTCAAATGTAAGAATTTCGTACGGGAAAATATTTTCTACAAATTCACGTTGATAAAAAGAACTTCGACATTGTTCGATGCGCGAATAAGACAGAAGAATGATAAACAGTTTCATCTAGAGTTGATCCTATCTTGGCGAAGGCTTACATTATTTCTTCTGCCCACAACAGCTAACTGGAGACTCACCTTGAAGATTCATAAATGTTTGCATTATCTCGATATATCTATACAAATTTTGTTAGAACAAAAACCAAGCTAAGTATGAAGGTCGAATGCATATGTCACCGACTACAGAAATGCTGTACTTCGTATTGCATACGAAAAAAATATCAACGCTTTATCATGTTCCTGAACAGAATAACATGTAAAACAAAAAAATGTTGGAAAACTTTTGTCACACGCAGTATACTTTTATATCAGAAATAAAAGATTTAACTATAAATATCTATGGAATAACGAGTGTTTATTTCTTTGATGCATAGAACATATTGTAATTTTCAAATGTTTAAGAGTTCTCGGTTATGACGTAGAAAATCTTCACACATTTTAATCATTGTACTTTGATTTGGTATAGTTGACTGATTATGATTTGATTTTTTATTAGTTTTAGATTTATATGAATTATGATCAATATGTTTTGTTCGAATACCAGGATTATATGTTGGATAGAGGGAACGCGTATAAGGCTTTAATGATGAATTACATGGTGCACCATTATTTAACCAATTTTTAATGATTGATTCAAGACGGTTTATTTGTTCTTCAGCCATTTTATTATATTAAAAAAATTTAACGAAAAAAGAATTAAGACGTACTTAAACAAAAACAAGTTATTTTCGTTAGTAAAGATTTATGTACTTGAATTAGCGCTAAATGATAGAAGTCTATCGATTATTGAATTATTTTATTTAACAAAAATGTATTCGAATTCAGTTTGAATTATTTCAATATTAATCATTTATGAAAATATTTACAAAAATTTTCCTTAATAAGATCTTAAACTTAGACAAAAACAACTAAAAAAAATGATCATTGATACACAAAAAAAATTGACTTTGTAAGCATTTTATATCTTTAAAAGAATGAATGGATACACTTTTTTTAAATAGTCTAAAAAAAAAACATTCTACCAACAAAAAAATATTGGCCTCTCATGTATGAGATAGACCTGATCTGACCGATTAATTCACTGAAACTTTATTTTATAAAAGATTCACATAAATGACAAATAAATACGATGAATCTAGGAGATTGAAACGATTCTTTGGAAATGGTCAAAATGCAACTTTTCATCAAAAAAGACAACAATACAAAATCATATTGATATATGGAATTAGATATCTTCATAGTGTTCATTATCTTTCTTCATATTTTAATCTCAAAGCAATCATACGATTTTGTTATTGATAAATGGGATTTAATTGTGAGGATTTCTCGACTTATTTCTGTGATTGATTGGTCTTAAAATGAAGAAATTTGAATTTCGTTGAATACACATTGTTCTAAGAATATTATTTGCTTTTCCTGATTCAATAATTAACCTATTTCTCTGTAATGACTGTTCAATTTAAAACTTATGACATAAATCAGAGATGGAATTGGTCTGGTGTTTTGACAATCAGCACTGAGTCTGTTTCTGCTTTATGTATTGACGATTCTTTACACGAACAATAGGTTTTAAAAATATTTTGTTATTCTCACAATGTTATTATTTAAAATACTGTAGTAGTAAGACATTATTTGAGGTGATTTGAATGGCAACTTGATGTCAACTTAATCAATGCATTGCCGTAGTCGAACATATTGAAAAACTATCGATATCATATGTTTTATGTTTTTCATGACAATATATACAACATAAATCTTTTTTTTTTCGGAAAGAAATTACTATCGTAATTTAAAAGAAAAAAGCTTGTTAGCACAGCACCTTCGAGGCTGAATTGTAGAACTCATGCATCTCATATAAGCTAGCACATAATTTAGTTTATCAACCAGGAACACTATTGTTTTTATGATATGACGACGAAAAAAACTTATACGACAACAGTGAGAATGGATGAATAAATAAATGACTTAAATAATATTTCTCACGAATTGAAAGAGTTACAAATAGACGCTAGAGTTTTAACGACAATAAAAAAAACCATTTGTCTCACCATTATTAGTGCATATATTAGTACCTTATTTTTACACTCTATCTTTTACTTGTCTCTCTCTCTCTTTCATCTTGAAACTTCAACCAATAGTCTTCGCTATGCAAATCTTTTATTTTTCCTTGCATAATTACGAACAACAGCAGTATTAAAATGATTGATGTATACCTGTACTTGCTAAGATCTGTGATAAGTAAGAGGGAACTGCAAAACTTCAACTTGAAACTTATACTTACTATATTCTTCGGAAATGTAATTTTGATAGTCTATATTTATTCACTTCTGTGACATCTCTATGAAAATATCGTCTAATTACAAGATAAGTTCGTTGATAATAATTATTCATTGTATATTTATTGTTTGTTCATCAAAGGCCTTTACAATGTGTATAATAAGCGTCATTAACTATATGCGCATTTGTTATTTTTATTTTAAAAAGAGAACTCAAATTCTTCATATAGATTTTCTTTTTAAAGAATTCTATGAAGCAGAATATTATTTTTTATTAGAAATAGAGCTTCAAATAGAGAATTAGCTAAAATACTAATTACCCGAAATTACGGTAAGTTATAAATAAACTCTCAAACGTCTAGTCGAAGAAGAAACAATTTAGCTTTTCAGTAGTCAAATGATTTGCATATCATTTTTACAGATTGATCTTATCTTACTTAGGTTTTTTGAGCTGTGGTCGAACTCGAATCAGTCACTAGCGCTAAAAACAATCCTACCGTACTGAAAATTGCATTAGGACTAGATTTCAACGATTTTATCAAACTACAACTATTGAAAAACTACCACGTTGAGGAAAACGTAGAGTAATTCTTGGAAAATATTCAATGAAGTCAAGGACACTTGTAAAAGTGTGCCAAGATCAAGTGTTAACAACAACCCATCATATAATGATGAAATATCTCTTATTAAAGATTTACACGAGGTGCACTTTATTCAACAACTTTATGAAAATGAGTTTCATATACCGAATATTCGATCGTGGCTCACTTGCACAAGTATCATTTACTTCATTGAATTTTCTCTCATCTTGAATGTGATAGGTTTTCAATAGTTCTAATTGTACAAAATCGCTGTCTAAAACTAACCGAATAAAATTTTAGCGAAAACAAGACCAACCTATGAAAACGAAATGTAAATCATTTGAACTGCCGAAGAATTGTGTATTCTTTTTCTCCCGGTTTTTCTGTTTTATTGATAACATTAAGTAGTAGATATTCCTCATTGGACTACCAATATACTAAAACATTGTATGCAATTCATACAATAGAATCTTTTTTTGTGTATATTATGACATCTTTTCAATATTCCATAAATCAAAGTTATTCTCTTTTTGATATTACTCCAGATTTTCTAATTCAAATTAACGTTGCTAAGAAATAATAATGAATTTCTCTTCTTATTTTTTCTACAATAAAAAAAAAAGTTTCGATTCAGATTGTTATACAAATGATTCATCTTACAATGGAAGTATTTATGTTGTAACGTGAGATATATTCGAGTGCAATTAAAACTTCTACTGCTAATTTAACAAATTTCAAATATAGACTATTTTTGGCTCATCTGAATAAAGATTCACATTTTCATTTATAAAAGGAATTAGATTCGAAATTCTAATTTTCATAAAATACTTTTTCTTATGTAACTCAACAAGTTCTGTCCAAGTATCACGGAAAAATTCTGTTAAAATTTCAATTTGTAAACATTTTATAGACGTTGTAACTACTTTAAACTTCATATATATGTCGATTGAATCATGAGAACAGTAGTCTTTATTTTGAATTTGTTTGTTTGGCAATAGGAGCTTTAGTTTCACTCAAATATAACTAATCTTTTTATCTTACAACATAAGCACCTCTATTGTTAGAAAAAAGTTTTATTATTCATAATTGCGTATGAATTTTTTCTCAAAAGTCTCATATGACATATTAGAATAAAAGATCAAGGACAATCAATGTATTGTATTACTCTGTAGACGAATTGAGTAATTCAATCTGAAAATATGATCATTTCATTTTATTTATATTCATGTCCATGAATTTTCTTATTATGAAGAAAAAAAAAGATCATCATTCTATTAAAAGATGGATTAAAGAAATAATCCAGGTAGCGTTCTCTTCGTTCTTGTATCTTTAGAATAATAAAAAAATTAAAAATTCGCTTCGTTATAATTTAATGAAAAATATTTTACAGAAAACACTAACGAACAATCTATTGTTATGTCAACATGTACATAAAAACGAAAAGAAAGTTTTTTTTTATATATGATAGCGCATTCTTGTCAATTATTCAAGTGATATAAAGGACATAAAAAGAAATTAAAGAAAAGAGGAGAAAAAGAAGAAGAAGAAGAAGAAAGACAGTAAGAATGAAAGTCGAGTTTGCATTTTAATCTAAGCGTAAATCATCAGACAGGAAGAGAAAAAAAAAGGATTTTCTTCTTGTTTTTCTTCAGTCTTTGCTGACTACGTGACTCTCAGAATTTATTTTCCTAACTCATGTCTTGTTGCTTTGGTAAAAATACAGATGGTACGGATCCTAAAAAAACACTATGTAGGTTTAAATGAAGAATTTTTATTATTTGAAATTAATTTTTATTTTTATCGTTACATAGCAGATCAATCGGATCCATTATCAGAACGACCAATTATACCAGTGAATAAAATTCAAAATTCAAGTTAAATGATAAAATATCTATGATACTGATATGTTAAATATAAATCTTTTTCTAGATATTGAATATTCAATTACTGTAAAAACAGGTGATTTTCGCAATTCTGGTACAAATGGACCTGTTTATGTTAATATATTCGGTCGAGATGGTAAACAAACACAAGATATATTATTATCAGGACATGATAAACCATTTTCACAAGGTTGTACAAGAAAATTTCAAATTAATGCTGTTGATATTGGTAAACCACAACGCATTATTATTCGACATGAAGATAATTTAACTGGATGGTATGTCGATTATATAGAAATATCTGTTCATAATTTTTTAGTTAGGTATAGTCTTTATTGATTATCAAAACAATAGAAAATTTTATTTATTCAATTATTTAGATTTGTGGCGAATCGATGGTTAAGTCGATCGAAAAATGATCGAAAATTAGAAGCTGAACTTTTTGGTTCGGAACAACCAGGTTAAAAGAAAAAGATAATTATTAAGAATATTTTGAAATGATTGTCTTTTCTTTGTTATTATAGCTGTTATATATAATGTAGAAATTCAAACAGGTGATGAACAAATTGAACCATTAGATTCACCAGTATATATGCAAGTATATGGAACAACAACAGCAACACCTAAACTTTTCTTTGATTCAAAAAATCCTTCATTTACAAAAGATTCAATATCAAAATTTACTATAGCAAGCAATAATGTTGGAGAAGTAATGCTTGACGATTATATCAAAAAAAAAATTTTTATTCAAAATGTTTTTTTTTCTTGAAAATAGATTCAACGAATTATAATTGGTCATGAAGGATTAGGTAAAATCAATGATTGGTATTTAAAAAGTATTAAAGTTCAAATGCTTTCACAACAACAAGAGTTCGTATTGACTTTATTATTTATTCATCAGATTGAATATTCGGTTCATCATTTAGATATGTTATCAATAAATTGTTAAGTCCAACACAAGGTGATCAACAATTATTTGTTGAATTATCGCAAAACAAACCTCGATCACCGTCCCCACCTGGTAATGAAAAACAAAAAGAAATCAGAGATGAAAACAATATCGGTATCGGTCTTGAAAAATACAGATTGGTTCTATCTCTGAAAGAAATCATCTGAATGAGAAATGCATGTAAAAAAAAAGTATTTTATTTTGTTTTCAGTTCCTCCAAAATATTTTGTAACGATTCAAACAGCTAATGTATCACAAAAGGAAACGGCTGAAAATGTTGAAATGATTGTACGTGGATCTGACGGACAAATCGCTAAAATATTATTAAACGATTATGCAAAATCAATTGATAAACAACTTTTTCAACAAGGAAATTTAGATGAATTTGAAATAGAACACGATGATATTGGAAATGTAAGAAAATTTTAATGAAAAAAAATCAATCAATCAATATGTTAAACTTTCTTTTATTTGTCATAGATTGAAAGTATAACGATAGGTTTTAGTGATACTAAACACAAAGAAGCTTGGCTATTAGAATATGTCGATATAAAATACAAAGAAACCGTCTATCGGTTAGTGACCATTATTGATTATAATGATTCTATTTTTGATAATTTTTAGTTTTCAAGCTCAATGTTGGCTATCAAGTCGTTTAGGACCCAATTTTAGTTGGATGACAATCAAACCTGAGATAAACGATGATGGTAATATATTCTCTAATTCATGAAACGTTTCTATTGAAGCTCTACAAAAAAAACACACAAATAAAGTTTTTTCGAATTCTCTTTCTCTCCCTTTCGAATTTAACAGAACACTTCTTCAAGGTTGTGATTCAATTATTAAAGTTCTTTATTGTTCATTTATTTTCAATAATATAATTTTCATAGCTTGCATACATTATAATACCATTTATATTGCATTTTTAATAACATGTAGAAAAGAGAAAAAAACATAAATATAGACGGTTTGAGATGCAGTTGTCAAAAACAATCTTGAACACCTTTAAAACTCGTATAAGCATGCGGAATAATATATCGATCAACAACGAATGCAAGAGAGAGAGAGAGAGAGAGAGAATGTGAGAAAAAGGCACTTTTCATGCATACTTCTATTGCCATAAAAAACGGAGTTGCTTTGTCGACATAAAAACTTAGTCGCAAATAAAGAAACATTGTTCTCGTCATCGTTAGGAAAGAAAAGATTTCAACAATACAACACAACATATATCAAGTGACCGTACAGAGTTTAATTAAGAAAAAAAAAGAAAGGGCTTTCTAATGACTTCCGAAGGTTTGTATAATGATTGAACTAATTCGAATTTTTTTTTTTGTTCATCATATCTTATCTATTGAATAGATCTTAATTATAATGTTATTGTTGAAACTGGTGAATCTGGTATTGATGCTAATGTCATATTATGTATTTATGGTGATGAAAATACAACAACAAATTTAGCTTTACGAACAACAAAAGATGGTTCTGATGCAAAATTTGATCCAGATAGTATTCTTGAATTTGATTTAAAAGCAATCGATGTTGGAAAAGTAAAATCTTTTTTTTTGTTTATTTGTTTTTTTTTCATAAATCTTTAGCAACATATATTTGAAAATTTGCCTATTAGATTAAAAAAATTAATATCGGTCATGATGGTGAAGGCAGTGAACGACAATGGTTTTTAAAATCAATTCAAATTGACAAGAAAGATGAACATTACACGTATGTTCATTTACTTTAAACTTTCTTTTAATTAAATCAGAAGACAAAAAAAAACATTATTTAGATTCACAGCTAATCGATGGTTAAGTACAGAGAAAGATGATCAAAATACTTATATCGATCTTTTAGTTGATGAACGAAAAACACCACCATCATCACCAGTACCTAAGAAAGGTAAATAGAAAACTAATCTTCGTCTTTCTTCATTTTTATGCCTAATAGATCAAGCTACTTATACAATTACGGTTGTAACAAGTTCCGAAGAAGATGCTGGTACTAAGTCTGGTGTATTAATGACAATATTTGGTGATAAAGACAAAACTAAACAATTTGAATTAACTAATACAAAGCAAGGTGATAAAGCATTATTTGAATCAGGCAAAACAAATGAATTTGAAATGGAACTAGACGATGTTGGCCATGTGTGTAAAAACAATAAAATATATTATTCTATTTCTTGAAAGTTGTTTTCTAGATTAATAAAATTAACATCGGACTAGATGGAACAGATGGTCATCCAACTTGGCATTTAAAATCAGTTCAAATACAAAAAGGATCAGAAAATTACAAGTATATAAATATTTGCATATTGTTGTTTGTTTATAATTTTTTTTATTTTCTTTTTCTGTTTTTTAGTTTTTCTGCCAAGAAAATTCTCGATCAGTCAACACCATTTATTGATTTAACACCAACTCCAGCTAGTATAAAAAAAAACAAAAACCAATCATTTTTCAGTTTTTTCTCAATTATCATTGTTTTCATAGGGAAAACACCAACTCCAGAACCTGTTAAAACGGAAAAAGTACGCAGTCATACACCTGAACAAAAAACTCCACCTATAAAAGGTGTATATTTATTTTATTATTGTTTTCTAAAATATTTCCATTCATTCAAAATTTATTATAGAAACAACATATAAAACTTTAATTTGCACTAGTTCAGAACAAAAAGATATTATTAATCAAGATGCTAATTTTTATATAATAATCTATGGACAAAAAGATCAAACTAAAAAACTTTATCTTAAACATGCCACAATACACGATAAAAAAAAATTATATAAAAAAGATGACAAAGCTGAATTTGAATTTAAAACAATCGATGTTGGAAAAGTTTGTTAATAATATATATATATATTTCTAAATATGTATTTTTTTATTATTTAACTATAAATTAGATTTCAAAAATTGCCGTAGGACAAGATGATTCTGAAGATGAACTTGTATGGCATGTTGATAATGTTACAATTAAACGAACTAATGAAACAATAACGTAAAAATTTTTAAAATGTTTTTTTTTATTAAGTAAACAAAAAAAAAAAGAGAAAAGAATTTTAGATTTAATGCTGAACAAACAATTGGACGTAATTCTGAAATTGAATTATTACCGTCGGCTATACCAAAAAAAACAGGTAAACATAATCTTGAATAAATACTAATCAATATATTTTTCGTTTTGTTATGTTCAGAAATAACTTATAAAATTCTTATACGAACTGGTACATCTCAAGAAGAAGGAAACGATAGTAATTTATATATAATAATATATGGAAAAAATGGTCAAACGAAAAAAATGCTACTTAATGAAACAACAAAAACAAATAAAAACACTTCTTTGAAAAAAAATGATAAAATCGAATATGAATTTAAAATAGATGATGTTGGAAAGGTCCATTTCATTTATAGGAAAAAAAAGACTGTATTTTGAAAAAAATTTATCTTATTTGAAATAGATTTCAAAAATTGTTCTTAGCCAAAATCCAAACGAAGAAACACTTATGTGGGATATTGATAATATTACAATCAAACGACATAATGAAACAACAACGTAAAACATTTGTGTTTTTTTTTTATTCTTCTTTCGTTAAAAACAAATTTTAGATTTAATGTCGACCGTAAAATAGAAAAAGATGATGAAGTTGAATTAATACCTTCACCTATACTGAAAAAATCAGGTAATAATTCATCAAAAAAGAAAAAAACTTTTAATTTCTATTTCTAATACAAAATTTTATTTATTAAGAAACACCACGTAAAACAAGTAAAACAGCCGATACAATATCAAAACTAGTTACCAAAACGAAAGGTAAGTATTAAAAATAAGAACTTAAAAAATTCTTTGTCAACTCATTACTAGATACCCCGGTGAGAAAAAGAGAAATAAGAAAAATAAAGTCAATAGTTACGTTTAGAAACATTAAAAAAACCGAGGCAAAACGAAAGCAAATTAACAGTTTTCTTTTTCGAAGTGTGTGTCTGTATAAAAATATAGAAACAATTTCATAGAATGAGAAGAGCCCAATCAGAAAGATCACATGATAGAAAACGAAATGGTAAATTTCATAATTAAATAATCATATATATTTTTTGAATGAAATTTTATTTTATTTTTTAGATACTGATTATGAAATTATTACATCAACAGGTGAACAAACACTTGAAGCTTCAATAACATTAAATATTCGTGGTGAAAATGGTATTGTTCGTATTCCATTAACACAAACAAAAACTGGTGAAAAACCATTTCAATCAAAATCAACTAATGAATTTACATGTCGAACGACAGATGTTGGAAAAATTCGACGAATTATAATTGAACATAATGGAACAGATAAAAATATGGTCTGGCATTTAAAAACAATTCAAATAAAAAAAGGACATGAAACATATAAGTTAGTAATAAAACATTTCTTTTTAATATCTTTTGTCGTCAATTTTCTTTTTTATTTTATTTGCTAATATTTTTAGTTTTAATGCTGATTTACGTCTTGATTATAAAGAAAATAAAGCTAATCTTTATCCTGTTGGTGCTTTATTTGGCCATCAACGAGAAGATTATGTACAAAGTGAATTACGTCGATTACGAGAAAGTCTTCGAAGTGAATCATCAAAATTACATCCACCTGTGCAGTTAGTTTTTTTTTTTCGGAATAAGATTTCAGAATAAAAAAAATTTATTTTATATACATATTTTTTTTAGCAAAGCTTATGAACCGTTTGTTTATAATGATTTAAGGCCTTATTTTGATACTAGTTCTGTCGAAAGAGCTATTTATTCAGTAAATTAAATTCCAAAGAGTGAATTTATAACTTTACTTTTGTTTATTTTTAGCCATTAGAAGCTCCACCTGGTTATTATACACGTTTAACAGCACTTCGTATTGTTGAACCATGGGAAACTTATGGAATGGATTATGGTGTTAATTATGAAATATTAAAGCAACGAAAAGGTCGTAGTTTTAGTACTAGACGAGCGTAAGTTTATTATCATGTTGTTTGTTATTTCTGTTTATGCTTAATTGATTTTTGTTGATTAAAACTTCCACTTTTCTGCACAAAAAAAATGACACGAATAACCTTTTTCGTTTCCCTTGTTTTGTGTGTTTCTTATCACTGTTTTAGTAAAACTATGACACAAAGTGGTATTATGATTGTTCCACCAATATCATTACCTTATGGTGGTCATATAACACATATTAATACAGCTGAACTCGAGCGTACTTTACAAGAACGATCACGTTCATCTAAACATCGATCTTTATCACGACATAATAATAATAATAATAATAATAATAATAATAATCATTATCAAGAAACTCAAAGTGTTAAAATAAATATCTAATTTCATTAAAAACGCTTTCTCCTTCTTGAACTACTACTATCACTAATATTTGTGTGTGTGTGTGTGTATTTATGTTATTCTTTGTAACAAATAAAACTTCACAGGAATTTCAACATCGAACGAACACAATCTTTGATCTATAACCATAAAAATATGATTTGAAAATTTTCATACATTGATTACAGGGTTTCGAAATCAGCAGATGGATCCATTGATCGAAAACAAGGTTCAACACATTTACCCAAATTTCCTTGTGTTAATATGCGAAAACCTGCTGAATACTCACGACCATTAACTATGAATGATGTTCCTAAAATCAGGTTAGTCAAATAAATATTTTCTAGGACAATTTTTGTTCATATTCATCTTCAAATAGAACATTCATACGAAGTCGTTATACTACTGAAGCTCATACTCAAATGGAAAAGGATTATAAACGAACTCATGATGATCTCTATCGAATGCAATTGGACGATATGGATAGTTATCATGAATCAAATCGTGACAATATGCTTCATGTTTATCATTCATATCTAGAAAATACACCTGGTTCAAAGAAAGCTCTACGAGAACTTTGTGATCGAATAGGTCCTCTTAATACAAAGTCATCTGTCGACACAAAAGTTTAGCTTAGACTTTTTTTTTCATTTAATACATCAAAAAAAAAAGAAAGAAAGAAAAATTCATACGTGTCTTACACATATTTGTACGAAAAAGACAAGAACACATCATTGTCGCCATTATTTTACACATAGAATAGAAGATCCAAAAAAGAAAAATTGACCACAAACAACACAAAGAAACAAAAACAGATTGCTGATATAAAAAAAAAACCAAAAAAGTAAGGAAGAGGAAACTCCAGTACCGGACGGACGACAAATGTTAATGGTGCTGATAGAAAAAAAAAACAGGAAATAGACAAATCGAAAGAGAAGGAAAACTCGAGATGAATGAATCAATTAGTGTATATAATATTAATACTGAACACACAAAATTGTTAATAAAACCTGAGAGAAGTCACCGTTGAGGAGAATTATATACATCTAAATATTTGACAATTTTGCAATATAAATATAATCCAATAATCAACATAGGAAAATTGAGCAGAAGTAGAGCGCAATGGCACAGCACCGGCAAACTATCTGACATTTATTTATTATGATTATTAATAATTGTTTGTTGTGATGGCAAAGAAACAACAGTTGTTGTTGTTATTTGTTGTTCATTTGATGAATAATCAAGCCAACTATAATCTGGTTTTGTATCAACAGCATCAAGAAAATCTATTTCCATATCCTTCAAAAGAAAAAAAAAAAGAAAAGAATTTTACTTTATTGAAAATGATTCTAAAATTCTTCATAGACATACCACCACAACATTTGTTGCTTCACGATGTAGAACTTCAAAAATACATTTTTGTACTTGTCCATCGGTATTCATTTGTAAACAAAGAAGACGTTCAGCAACTACAAATGAATAAAAAAATACATAAATTTTTATTGTATTCTATCACTTACTTAGTGCATCAAGAGCTCGTAATTTTGATAATAAAAGAAGTAATTTGGTAAAATGCATTGGATCATTATTACGATTTCTTGCTATGTGTAATCTTTCAATTTCACAATAACGTGTTTGTAATTCTTCAACTTTTACTCGTGTTGCTTGACCTTCAATTCGATCTGTTAGTATATAAAAACAAAAAAGAATTTCTTATTATAATTAATTCATTATAAAATCTTACCATAACTAAAAAATACAATACAACAAAGAAGAACAAATTCTTCAATAGTTAATTCTAATCTACTGAATATTCTACAAAATTGTAAAAATGTGTGTCCATAACAACCAAAACCTTGTGTCATAAGTGTATGTTCATCAACACAAGCACCATTTGATAAATATAATTTGTCTTCTTCAGGTTCATAACGATAAGCTAAACGTAATAATGCAACTTCATGTGCACCTAATTTAAGTAAATGTGCACGTTCTTGTATTGATAATTCATTATTTCCCGGCATTTGCATACAAAATTGTATACATTGCATTATACCTTTTTGACTAAATTCATCAGCAGTTTGCCAACGTATATCAGGTTTTTCCTAATAAATTAGTCATAAAAAAAAATCCATTGTATTTATCCAATAATTTTGATTAAAATATCTCTGTGTGGCTTTAAGTTCTAATCAATAGCCTTAGAGCGAATTCTAATGTATGCCTATTTTGAACCGAAAAAAGTGTATAGGCTACGAAAAATTATTTATCACATGTTCCAAGTTTATTCTCACTACCATGGCTGATGAATAGCTCACTGTTTAAGTATCAAACCATCACCAATAAAGTGAACATTACACCAACACTTTTGATTCGATTTGAATCACACTGAATTTCATTCGTTGTTTTCTCGTCTTATTAATGATTTTAATTTAGTTTTATTATAATCCGGAGACAAGAAGAAACTAATGGAGAATTTATCATGAATTCTAATAGATAAATGTGCAAAATTAAAAATTTGATACATTTTCAACTTATCCTTATCTCATAGAGATTTTATGATATTCATCTATGAAACATGTCTACATTGAACATTTTCAGATATATGAAGATCAAAAGAATTTTAAAAAAACAAACTTCGCAATACAGAGTATAATACGTTACGGATGAATTTTATCATTATCTCAAATGACTGACTCTTTTTCAGTATTCTTACATCGAGATTAAGAGAAAGATGTTGTCAAAAAAACGTCCAACTGTTTGCCAACTTTTTACAGCTTCATGATAACTTAGAAACATCATGATTCTCTCTCTAGTGGAAAGAAATAAAAATAAGCAAACAATGTCGTTATGCAATCAAAAAGATTAGGAGAGAGACGATCTAGTGACAGCTAGAATCCATTGAGTGCAAAAACTTTCAGATTTGGACTAGCTGGGTTCTAGTTGCAGATCATCTTGCCATGACAGTAGATTGAATCTTATTGTTACTCTTCCACTCTCAAAAAATATCGACAATCCTAATTGCAATTAAACATCATAGATTTTACGCTCTCGAATACAACTTATTAAAAATCAAAAGATCATCTCTCAGAATCTATCCTTATGATAATATGAAGACAATCTTAACTTACATCAATCTCTTGTGATGGTTTAAAATTAAATGTCGATTTATGTAAATTAACACAAATTTTAATTAATTTTTCATCATCAGAATTATTTTCAACAGCAAGACGTGTTGGTGGTAATTTTGGTGCAAGTACAGGTAAATATTCTGTTGATGGTATTTGATGTATTTCATCAATTGAACGTTTCATTATTGTTGCTGGTCGTTTTTTATTGGTACGATCAATAGTCTTATTAACTGTTTTTGGATCAGTTTCATTTAATAATTTTTTTGCTTGATTTGATAAACGTAATTCTTCTTTACTCATTCCAACAGAAAAACATTTTTGAAAACGCTTTAAAAAAAACAAAATCAATTGAAAAACAAAAATATTAAAATTCAATTTTATTACACAATATTGACAACGATTTCTTGTCATTTTATTTATTTCACAATTTTGATCTTTATGACATTGATATGTCATATTCTTTTGTACACTACGTCGAAAAAAACCCTAATTAATCGAAATAAAACTTATGTTTAATTTTATATATTCGACAAAAAACTAAAACTCACTTTACAACCTGGACAAAATAAAAAAAAAAAAAATTGTATAAATAAAATAAATTTCAATTTTCTTTTTTTACCTTCACAACTTGAAACACCATAATGATATCCCGAACTTTTATCACCACAAACTACACAAGGTTTATAAACTCTTGGTGGTGGTGGTGGTGATGCACTAGCCGGTGTTGTTGTTGGTTTATTAATTGATTGTAAATTAATTTGTTGAATATTATACATTGGTTGATTTGGTACAACTAAAATTTCTAATAGATAATAAAATTTAATTTTTTAAATCAATTACAAAAATTTTACTTGTATTATATACAATATTATCAAATGTAAATGTTTGTTGTTGATTGCTATTAAATTGAGTTGCATTTCCATTAAAATATTGTGTTGTTGTTGGAATAGTTCCTTCAGTTTTAATAACTTGTCCATTTGTTACATTAAGTCCTGAACTAAAATATTCATCAGCTGTAGTTGCCATTAAAACATTACCTAAAAAAAAAAACAGATAAACACTTTGTTTTCGTTTTTGATATAAGAATAAAATTTTCTGTTGAATACCATTTGGACGATTTTTAATTGGTGTTCCATTATTATTATTATTATTATTATTATTATTATTCAAATGTCCAATATTTTCATTTGTATTATTTATTGTTGAAACATTAATTGTTTCAGCACATGTCATTGTATGATAATCATCTGTATTTTCACCAAAAAAATCATGATAATCAAATGATTCATGAAGAAGTTCGTTATCATCCATTTATTAATTTTAATTTTTACACATACTGTATTCAAAAGAATAATTTTATATAAAAACCTCAATATGAGAAGGTCTAATGCTCAGTTGAGCTAAACAATAAATGGTGTAAACGTCTATGTATGTTCCACACAAAAGCGAATGAACAAGAATTTTTTTTCTTTCTTCTTTTTTTTTTTTCTATTATGACCATAGGACTGTATTGGTCAATGTTGGCCGTCCTCGGTGTGTCGGCGGCGGTCGTTTTCTTTTTTTTTCCCCCGTCGACGGACGATATACAGACAATGATAAGATGTTGGCACAATGCCATATTTGACCAAGAAAAGAAAGAAAGAAAGAAAGAAAAAAAAAAAGTTCAATTTCCTTTACTATGTGGACAGTAGTAGTAATGGTAGCTATGACTAGAGTTATTTTTGTTGAACTTTATATGACCCCTATGTTGTTAGAAAGCAAAAAAGTTTTTTTTTTTTTTTTTTCTTTTTTTTTTTTTTTTTATCATTAAAAAAAAAATATTCGAATAAAAAGTGTCACTAGATAAAAATATTAATTTTTTAAAAAAAAAAAAAAAAAAAAGAAGAGTATTTTTACAAATAAAAAATAAGATTGAGAAGAATATGTCAATGATAATAATTATCTTTTTAAAATATTGTTTTTTATTTGTTGAAGTATTTGAATATAGATGCATATATTTTGATTTCGGGATAGTACGACTTCTGCGATATGTTTCAATAGGACATGAATGTTTGAACAATCTCATGTATATGTATTGAGATATTTTCATGATTTTTCTGAAATTTTATAAACAATAATCTTTTATCGGTAATATGGCAAACAGCTTAAGTAAACTACTTTGTCAAAATTTCTTTGGCACCAAAGTTGATAGATTTGTTTTAGTTATTAACAACTCATTGTTAGTAAACAATGATCGACGTTTTTCTATTTAATAAAATGGACAATTCATTGTTGACGTTTTATCATATTTAGTACTATTTCGTTATTCATAACAACTCTTATGATTTCAATACGTCTCTCAAAGAGAATTGATAATGAGTGTTTGAGACAAATCTTATCTATTTTCGATGCCATATATTTATATATTTCATCGTTGTATGACACATGAATTTATTTATCAGAGAAATATAATAGTTATAATTTATTTCAAAGAAAAAAGAGATCATACATTGAGTGCATTCTCGAATATTAGACAAACATGGAAAATTGTTATTTTTTCTGTGTTTGTTGAGAACAAAAAAAAATAATTCAATAAGCGATTCAAAATAAAAACAAAAAATGAGTTCTGTTGTAACAGATATGTACAAAGATAAACAATAAATAAATAGAAAAGTTTTATGTTATTAATATGTAACCATTTGATACTACTGCTGTTTGAAAATAATACAAAAATCAACAAAACAAATTCTTAGAGATTTTCAATGTTTTGATAAAATGTAGCCTAAAACAAAAAGAATAAAAAATTAATTTAAAAAGAATGTTTTACTTAAAATACATACAGGTATAGGTGAGTAATTTGCATGATTTTCTTCACCATCACTATCACTGCTATCACGTTGATTTGGATGAGAATCTACTTGAGAAAAAAACGATCAAACAATAACAAGTGTAAATCTAATTCTTTATATCTATTTACCATTCATATTATTCATATTTAATTTTGAAAAACAAGAATCACAAACACGAACTCGTTTAGAATCCAAATGAGGTAAAAGAAAACGGTTTTTTGAACATCCTTCACATACGATATAACCACAATTTCGACAATGCTATTTTAATAATCAAAAATTAAAAAAAAAAACAATAATATTTTGTTTCCTTATTTATTATCATACATGTTTACGATTATACGTAGAAAATTTCGATATATGACAATGCATGCATGTATCTGCTTTATCATCTGGCACCCAATATGCAGCTACAGCTTTATGCTGTGTAGTGTTACCACCTTAATATATACATATATATATATATGTATAATTTAAATGATGATTTAGAAAATCATTAATATATACCACAAGCAGATTGAATACAACGTTCAAGATGTGTTAACCATTCTTGTCGTTCTCGATCAGAATTAGCTCGAACAATAAAAGATTTTTTTGGACTACAAATTAACCACGAATATGGATTTTCTAATTGCGTATTAATTAAATTTAATTCAATAAAGAAAAAGCAAATGTCGTTTTTTTTTTCTACCTTCAGAATCAATTGGAGTACTTATTTGAATTTCATTTAATGGTATAATTTTTTGTTGTGAATACTAAATAGTTATTTATATGGATGAAGATAAAAATTTTTCTATAAAAAATAAATTTTTATCACCTTACGTCCATTAATAACCACGCGTCCATATACAAGTATATCATTAAATAGAAAAAAAGCTCGTTGTTTTGGTTTTTTTCGACAAACTTTCATCAAAATTCCTTCACCAACAAGTGCTCGACCTTCTTTCATCAATGGCTAAAAACCATTTAATGATTGAATAGAAATATTTGATTGAACAAAAAAAAGACAATAGAAAATCTCACTTGACTATTAACAAATTTATCTTGAACAGTCTTAATTCTCTTCGCATTTTCTGTTGATCGACCTTTAAAAATAAGAAAAGATTGATTTTTAAAATTTTAGAAATAATATGTATTTACTAAGTTGAGCTAATCCATCTTCTTTTAAAGATGATGCTCGAACTGAATCATTTGAACTCATTTCTAAAATAAAAGTTTCTTTAGTATTTTAGAACTCTCAAAAGTGATACGAAAGAAATACAAAAATTCATCAATTTTTACAGATGTTCACATATTTTTAATACGATGTCGTCTTGATTCCAAAAAGAAAACTAATACATCTCTACGAATGGAAGAATTTTCTAACCAATCGCAACAATGCACGAACCTTTACTAGGTCACACACACATTCATATTGATTTTTGTACTACTGTCAAAAAATTAGCTGCTAGTAGTTAAGTCTTCACATAGAAGAAATGGTTCAATATCGTTAGGATTTATATTCAAATTTTTTTGTCGAACAAAACTAAAGTAAACAAACGAAAAAAGAAATTTAATGATAAAATATTCAGTTTATAAAAGAGAGATTTTTTTCAGCTTATTTATACGCCTAATAAATCAAAATAAATAATCGAATTGAATATATTTTATCGTGTACATTCAACACAATATATAATATATGTACCTATTTTTTTTCTTCTTTTCTTTCTACCTTTATTCGAGTATACACTACGACTTTTATATATCCTTTTTCAATCCCAGGTCCCTTATTGTATAACTTAGTAGATGTCATTCTTCTTTTTCTCCTGCGCACACCTCGCTCTCATTTCTTTCTTATCAATACTCTTTCACTAGTAACTTGAATAATTGTATATATATATATACATATAAACACTTCATTTATTTCTGTTGCTCAAAATTATACAGCCTTATTTATTAAATTCAGCGAAAATAATATTGGTAGTACACAATCTTGTTACAGATATGACGACTGCGACTGTTCAAAACGGATCGAACGATTCTAAAAAACGTAAAGTTGCTTTAATTACTGGTATTACAGGACAGGTAATAATAATCATTGAATAATATTTATTCTATTACATTTTTTTTTAAGGATGGAAGTTATCTAACTGAATTTTTACTTAAGAAAGGTTATGAGGTATGTACATATATGTGTATATACATATATTCACTATCAATAACATATTATTATTTGTTAGGTTCATGGTGTTATTCGACGTTCAAGTAGTTTTAATACTGGTCGAATAAATCACCTTTATGCAAATCCAGAATCACACAAAGAAGGAGGTTTGTTGTGTTGTAATGTATATCAAATTTTCGCTCTTATTTGATAAATTTAATATAGCTATGAAATTACACTATGGTGATTTAAATGATAGTTCATCACTCGTTAAATTAATTGCTAATATTAAACCAACTGAAATCTATAATTTAGGAGCACAAAGTCATGTTAAAGTAATTTTTTATAAGTTTTTATAATGAAAAAAAAACTTTTCTTTGCTTTGTTCGAAATTTAGATTTCATTTGATTTAAGTGAATATACAGCTGATGTTGATGCTGTTGGTACTTTACGTATATTAGATGCTATTCGAACGTGTGGTCTTGAAAAAGAAGTACGTTTTTATCAAGCATCAACATCTGAACTTTATGGAAAAGTTCAAGAAATTCCACAAAGTGAAACAACACCATTTTATCCTCGATCACCTTATGGTTCGAATTTTTTTCATCAAAAAACGCAAAAATCAAGAAACATGTATTTATTTTTTATTTTATAGCTGCTGCTAAATTATATGCATATTGGATAACGATTAATTATCGTGAAGCCTACAACATGTTTGCTGTTAATGGTATTCTTTTTAATCATGAGTCACCACGACGAGGTATAAATAAAAATGAATTCGTTGTGAAATACGACGTAAGAATAGTGTTTAAATATAGGAGTAAAAATTTGAATATCTCTTTCTCACATACACAAACTGTAATAGACACCTTAGTGATATCCTCGTTCTTCATCTCAGATAGTGACATAAGTTGTTGATATACTATCAAAGACTATTTGTAAATAAGGACTTGTTCTAATATATGAATTACGTTCTTGTTACATTTCTAGAGAATAACATAAAAAGTTGTTGAAGAGATGTATTCCAAAATGGATAGAATAAAGTAATCTGTCTGTGATTAACAACAACAGTTATCGTGTGTTTCATATTTTAACCGCGCATGAATTGTGCTAAAGGATTTTTTTTAACTAATTCTTTTTGTTTAGGTGATAATTTTGTTACGAGAAAAATAACTCGATCTGTTGCTAAAATTCATCTTAATCAACAACAGTCACTTGAACTTGGTTCATTGGATTCAAAACGTGATTGGGGACATGCACGAGATTATATTGAAGCTATGTGGTTAATGTTACAGTTAGAGACACCAGAAGATTTTGTTATTGCTACAGGTAAAATATTTATTTTTGTTTTCTTTGTATGGATAAATTGAAGAATAAATTTTATATTTCTAAGGTGAAACACATAGTGTTCGAGAATTTGTCGAAGCAGCATTTCAAGAAATTGGAAAAGAAATTGTGTAAGTTTATTGTTCGTTTTTTTAAATTATTGATCGATTGAAGAACGAAATTTTAATAGATGGGAAGGTGAAGGTGTGAAAGAAGTTGGCAAAGAAAAAAATACAAATATTATTCGTGTTTCGGTTAATGAAAAATATTTTCGACCAACGGAAGTTGTAAGTTAAAAGAAGACGATTTATTTCGAGTAGAATTGCTTTTTCTTTTCTTTTTGTTCTGTTATAGGAGCTTTTAATTGGTAATCCGAAAAAAGCTGAAGAAAAACTTAAATGGAAACCAAAAATTACTTTTAAAGTATATTGAAAATATAGTTTTCAATAAAATTTTCAAATATGTTTTTTATTTGACAGGAATTAGTGAAAGAAATGGTTGCAGCTGATATTGAACTCATGCGAAAAGATCCAACAGCTTAATTCAAATAACATTCCAATTGTGATACTGACTATAAGTTGTTCAACTTTTTTTCTTGAGACGTTTTTTTCCTTAGGCAATATGTGATTTGGGACGAGTTTACAAATGCCATTCTTTTGTTTATTTCTTTTTTTCCATGAATTGTTCATATTTATAATCTCATTTTATTCTTGTTAACTCTTTTAACCAAACTATGATGCTTACTACTGATTCAATAAAAAAAATAATATTCATTTCTTAGTTATGTAAACTGTTTTTAAGTTTGTAAAATGCTTCAAAAAAAATCCTTTAATATATTAATATACAAGAAATTTGAGTAAATCATGTGCAAACTATTTAGTTTCTGAAAAGAAAAGGAAAAAACAAGTATTGAAATGAACAAATTAGGTCGGAACGGATACACGAGTTTAATATTCATAAGAAACAATTCTTGATTGAAAATGATTTGAAGTATCGTAAGAAAAAAATCTATCAAATGGAATTAATCGAAGATAGTGGACGATTCTTTATCACTACTTTCGAAAACTTTGCTATACATCAACATGGAAAGAAGAATTCGTATAATGAAAATTGTTAGAAAGACGTGCATATATGAGAGTTCGATGATAATGAAGAGAAGTTCTTTTAATGTTCATTTATTAGGTTTCTTGGTCTGTTGTCATCCCGTGTGTTATTCGCATCTCTTGGTTCGCCTTGGTGGGATGAATTATACGTGTTTACAGCTTGAGCATGACTGGATGTAGTGTACGATGTTGTAGATTGATCTTGATTCAACGTACTGTTCGCGTTTCCTTTTTCGGTAGGACGTGATCTATTAGTGTCGCCCGATTTCGGATCTGAAGGCCCTTGATTATTCGCATTTCTTCGACGACGATTTGTATTATCTTCACTTGGTTCATCTGCTATCTGTTGTCCATTTTTAAATTGTTGTCCTCTGAAGTATAAAACTTTTGCTACAGTCTTGATAAATTTTTCTTGAAACAGTTTCTTGACCCACTTTGGAGAAATGGCATGAATACCATACACAGTACCGGCAAGCTCTCCATAGATAGCTGCTGTTGTATCTGTGTCATCACCTAAATTTACAGCAAGAAGAACGCCTTCATTGAAAGAGCCACTGTCATTATAAAATGCCCATAAAGCAGCTTCGAGTGAATTCACTACATAACCTTTTCCACGAATACCATCTTCGTATCCTTTCTTGATTTTATATGAACCGTCAGCAACTCTCAGTACATCTCCATGTAAATTTAATTTCAAAACGTTTCGATGAAAATCTCGATCTAAAAGTTCTTCTTTGGGTGTACCGTTCAAGGCGTACCAAATAAGACCAGCATAAAACTGACAAGCTTCAATCGCTCTTTGATCATTATGTGTAAGTTTTGTAGCTTCTTCGACGTAGTTCTTCACCATCTCATACGATGCGGAAGAATAAAATAAAGGTATTGGTGCCAAACGCATAAGTGATCCATTACCAGCAGAATCTGATGGTCCACACTCTAATTGATAATAATGTAGGAAATCGTGTTTTGATATTTTATCAAGAGGAGTGTCTTTGCAAGCTGGGTTTTTCTCGATTAAACGATGAAGGACGTTTTTCTGGCGGTTTTCGAATTCGACAATTGCTTGACGTGTAGACTTTCCAATGTCAAAACATAGACCAGTAGAAGACAAATATCCATGTTTATACCATCGTTTATATCTTATAAATTGATCATAGGGGTCGAATTCTTCTTTAACTATAAGACTAGCTGCGAGGCAAAGTGCCATGGATGTATCGTCTGTCCATTGGCCTGCTTTTAAGCCCCATGTACCGCCATCTTGCATATCTTTCACTTTATATTGTTGCAAATATGAATAAGGACGAAATTCGACTGATGCTCCAAGAGCATCGCCTATGGCAAGACCAACGAGAGAGCCTTGTATTCTTAGAAGTTTATCATTGTCATAAATCTCCAGATCGGGACAACCAAGACGTTCGAATTCTTCATAGGGTTGATTGTGATCAAGTAATTCGACTAATTTTTTCAATGAACGATCTAGTGGTCTAGTCTCGGTAGGTGCTTGGGTAGATTTTGCCATACTCAAATGCCCTGAAATAAAATGAAATGCAATGACGAAAGACAATCAACAAATCGGTGATTGATTTTTTTCCCCGATAAAAGTTTAACATGTAGTACCAAAAAAAAAGTAATATAACGCAAACAGAAAAAGTAAAGATATGACAAACACAGTAAGTGATACAATGTTGTTTTAAACTATGCAAGTTTTTCTTTTTTTCTTCTTTCATACATTTGCTTGATGAAAATAACTACATAGGAAGGAAAGAAAGATGCATACACATAAGCCGTATTAAAGAGAAACAATGACTCAAGATATACAAGAAAAACCTTGATATCGATTCAATAAAGCATATTGCTTCAAGCAAAAATATAAATTAAGTTAAAAGAAAAAAAAATATATAAAAATTCATCGTTTAATAGTGTCGCTTGTTCTTTTTGTTAACAAAATTTCAAACAACACACAAAATACATAGTAAAACAAGAACAAAGAAAAAACATTGTTGTTTTTGTTTAGTTAAACATATTAAATTATATTTGCTAACAACATTAATAACAACAATAAAAAGAACAAAAAAAATCTTGAGTGAAGATAATTGTGATATTACTGAACCGATGATTGGTAATAAGAATAATTGAGTTTTGTTTTTCA